TGACACTAGAACTAGAATGTAGAACACAAGCTAGGGACTTCCTGAATAGAGCTCAGCAGCTCAGAAAATAGGAGAGAGAATTGACAACTGGGATTGTATCAAGCTGAAAATCTATGCAGTAAAGGGTTTAGTCAATAAACGAAAAAACAGCCTACAGAATGAGAGATCTTCATCAGCTATATATCTGACAAGGGTCTAATATCCAGAATATATAAAAAACTCAAAACAGTAAAACACCCCAAGTTAATAAATGAGCAAAGAGCCAAATAGATACTTCTCAGAAGAAGTACATAAGGCCAATAAATATACAAAAAAAATCTCAACATTGTTGGTCATAATAGAAATATAAATAAAAAAGAGATTCCATCTCACTCCAGTCATAATGGCCATCTTGAAGAATATGAACAAAAATACTGGTAGAAAAAAGAGAAGTATAATATAATTGTTGGTGTGAATCTAAATTAGTGCAACAGTTGTGGAAGTCAGTATGGAGACTCCTCAAAGGACTCTAAATAGAACTTCATTAAAAAACCATTAACACCATTCTAGACATGTATCCAGAAATTAAAGGCACCAGTATACTCACATTTATTGCAGTTCTAGGCACAATAGCCCAGTTGTGGAAATAGCCCAGATGCCTCATAACCCATGAATGAAGAAAATGTGATATCTCTAATTATCTCTTTTTTTCTCTCTCTCTATCTGTGTATGTATCTGATATATATACATATATATGTATATGTACATATGTAATATGATACACACATATATACATATAATGGAATAATGGTATGTCACTTGCAGAGATAAGTAGCTTGATGGGGCGGGGGGAATTATACTGTTTGAAATAATCTGGGTTTAGAAAGACAAAGGACTTATGTCTTATTTCATATGTAGTTGTTAGACCTAAACTGTAAACATATATGATAATACATGCATATATATACATATATGACCAAAATGACAATAGTATGATATACACAGGAGTGAGATGTCACTATGGTATAAACTCTTTGAACAATTAACAGACAGTTTGACAAAATGAATGTCAGGAAGCCAAATCATGTCTTGGCTGAGGGACATCAAGACTAAAAGGAAAGGGGCACGATGAATGTAGAAAGGAATGTCAGTCATGATACTCAGTGTATATATATATGAACATGGAACTAGGTGTCTTGAGGAGCTGGTTGGGAGGTGAGAGATATGGGAAGAGAATGATGGAAGAGGTAACTGACCAATGCGTTGTACATATAAATGGACATGTTAAATTGAAGTCCCCTGCCTTTTTTTTAACAATTATTTGAAAATAATTTTAAAAAAGAAAAAGAAAAATATGTTTTGCTATGCTTTACCTATTCTATATATGTGGTATATAGTATGTAATATTTATGTGTAGTCTATATATATTAGTACATATGATATGTACTAATATACTATGTATGTACTATATAATATATAATACATATGCTATGTATGTACTATATAATATATAATGTACATAAACATATGGATCAGACATTGTATAGGAAAGGAAAATGAGAAAAACATAAGCTAAAATGATTACATTCAACCAATAATAAACTGAAATTTACCCTGTGTCCAGTGCCTGAGCTAAACAGGTTGTCATATTCATAAGAGTTTGGACTCACAACCCATCACAATCTATGGTGTTCATGGACAGACTGGATTTGCCCCTGAATTCTTTCTGCTTTACTGACTGGTTTCTGCACATAATATCAGGTATTGACTATGTCCTGTAGCACTTCCACTTACTTATGGGTTGGTTAATGGATCTTCTTCAATCTTTTTGTTCCTTCATTTACTAATTAAATTCACTTGTCATCGAGTGTTTATTCTGTGTCCTGGATTGTACAAAAATAAGAGAATTGAGACTGGAAAATTATAGCTTGAGTTAGACATGCAAATGCCTATGACAGTTTAATTATAGCTAAAAGAATGGTAAGGGGCCTACAATTATGAGTCAGGGTCAGCAGATAGAAGCCAGTGCTTGTGCTGAGACACAAAAGATGACAGAGAGACAGCATTTGCATTAGAGGCCTGGGACTTCAGTAGGATTATGGGGCTTATTCAGGGAGCAAGTTCAACAAGTGCATAAGAAAGGACAGAGAAGAGAGATGCAGAGGGGATTAGCAATGAAATTGGTATAGAAACTCTAGATCTTGCCAAAGGGTGTAGGTTTTGTTCTATGGTTTGATAAAGTTTCACTTCTGAACCAAGTCAAATTTATGTTAGTAGATATTAAAAGCCATATTTCCTACTTTTGTTTGGCAGGGGGGTGCTCTTCCTTGAGATGGCCAGTTATCATAACTTACTTAAGGGACTGAGAATGTAGCTGAGGGGCAAAGCAATTACCGAGCCTGTGTGAGAGAGAACTCAGGTGGGTTCAGCCTGCAAAATCACAACAAAAATTATGTACATAATGGAATTCCAACAATCCTTGTAGACATCAATAATCCACACAAATGCCTTTGCTCACAAATGCCTAGAAATCTAACACTACAAAATACCATCATGTTTCAAATATTCTTTAGTCCCCCTCCCCTCTCTTTCTCAATCTGCCTCAAACACTGAGCAGCAATGAGTTGGAGACGGCACATCTGGAAGGCTTCTAGATTCTGAATACAGGGCAGTCACCAGGGATGAATGCATAAGCCTCCACCTCTGCTCTGCAGCTGTATTTTCTGTGACAGATTTGATCTTCATCACATAAATCCAATGTGCTGACTTGCTGCTTTACACTAGTGCTGATCCCAATTCTGAAACCCCTTTAGAATGTGAGAAGTACTAAAAGAAAGTACCATGAAGTTTCAGGAACCGAGTGTCTTATTTCCAAGAAAAGCTGCTACGTGGAAAGTTTGGTTGAGGTGTATATGTACTGTGCTAAAGCAACAACTGCATTTTCTCCTTGGTATATTTTAGTTCATGCCATAATTCCCTCCGTGCCACTCTGGACTGTGGTTCCTCTTTATCCCTGCCATCCACCATTCCATCTTCTCACTAAGTTCCTATACCCAGCCAAAGCTAGCGGATGGCATGGTAAGTCCAGAGACAAAAGTGGATGAGAACAATGGTGACAAAGATTTCTGATGTATTCTCCTCACATCCTTCCTTCCCCCACCCTCACAGCTGTGGAGCCTGAGAATGTGGAATTTAGCTCTTCAGAGTAAATATATATAAAGTGCTTTCTTGCTTTCAACATAGTCCCTCATCTTGGAACTCATTATTTCCTTAAACATGTCCAAATGTGGCCTGGTAATTTCACCCTCTTATGCAACTTAAGTACAAGCAAAAAGGTACTTGGAGTGCTCCCAGTGTTTGATCTAAAGCTTTCACATAGCTTCTGCCTCTCTTTGCACTAGTTTGAGATGAAAGGGAACCAACTGTTTTCTTGTTAAAGATCAAGGTAATCAGGATGGCGATTCAGGACATAACCATGATCGCTGTGGGGAGAAGAGGCCATGTGATGTTTTTCTATTAGGCACAGTATGTCAGATTTATGTAGCTGTCAGACAGAGCATTTCATTTCATGCCAATTTGTAATTTCTTTGTTGTTGTTGCTGCTGATTTTCAATTCCTGTCACCATCCTCAGTAAACTGAGTGGAGCTGTCACATACAGTGTTGCATTCCTAAGGTAAGAGACTCGCTAATACTTTCAAATTCTTACCATGTTCCTGCACGGTTCTTCACAAGTACTGTCTTTATCCATTATCTACACAATGCTGCAAGGTAGATGGTTTTATGCCCCATTTTACAGATGAAAAACCTTAGACACAGAGAGGTTAACTCATTCTGATTAGATTGCTCATTGCAGCAATGGAGCATACATTTAAGTCCAAGCAGAACAGGTTTAGGCTACAATGAGGTAGGAGACACACAAACACAAAAATTTAAGGAAGAACTCTTCTTCAGCCTTGCATAAGTACAGAGTTCACACGTGGGAGTGGGTACTTCCTTAAATTGACTTGAATCCTGAGTCTTAACCCTTACATAGGCTACCTATTTCGTCCTTACCCTTGTGGATGAGTCATCATTCAATGGTTAATAAATTGAGCAGTAGAAAGAGAATCTGTAGGTGATAAAGAAACTGGGAGAAATAGAGTTCAAAGGAAGACCTTTCCAGTGCACCTGGTAGGCATTCTTCTCTCATACCATCTCCCCTCCTGTGTGTCTCACTGGTGGCTTTTCCTCACCAAACTCTTCTCCAATAGTGAGAGGGAAAATGAGACTGAGAATATATAGACCTAGGTATCCTATGGAGAAAATCCTAGAACATTTCGTAGAACACAGTGCATACTCAACTGAGCTTGGCTGCTCCAAAGACTTTATTTCACATCATGGAGACTGAAAATGCCCTAAGACCTATTTTGGAGTGGAAGATAATCCAAGGATATCAGAACAGGTTATTCAACCTGCCTCAGGGAACAGGACAAGGGGACAGCTGTCCAGGGTTCCGGGACATTAGCCAAGAACTCCCCTCTCTCAAATACCTAGAAGATCCTTCAGTGTGCTCACCAGGTGTTGAATAGGAATAGACTTTTCTCTCTAGTTGGCAAAGGTCAAAATAATCACTGTACCATTAAGATACAGAAGTCCTTGGTGCAGCTCTGACTAGCCCAAGCCTTAGGAGTCCACTGGGATCAAGGCCTGACAATGTGGGGAGTCTCTCCAACATCCTGTTGACTTAATGTACCCTGGAATAAGACTCCGTTGAGCTGTTAGCTCAGTGCTAATGGCAAGTGACTTCACAGAATGAAGGATACTTGCAGTCATGATCTGTCACCTTCTTGGAACTCAGAGTATGAGAAAATTCCTGGTGGAGATGACGATCATGAAAACATGCTAACACTGAGATCTGAGAAGACTGATTGACAATGACTTCTCCTGTTAGTTGCTACCACAGGGGAAGCCCACACCAAAAAGGACAAATCAGCTGTGCTCAACTCAAGTGAGAGCCGGGCAAGGCGGAAGCAACATGTACCTCTTTGATCAAGTTCATAAATCTGGGTCCGAGGCGCCATGGCTTGTGTCGATGGCACTGTAGGGAGCTGACCGTCAGTTGTGAGGCCCGATGGGAGGCAATGGCCACCATGTAGACCGCGTCATACATCAGAGCTGCTTCTGTCTGTGAAATCAAACGTAAAGCACATCTTCAATTCCCTCTACGCTCTCCTTCCCTTGCTACCATCAGCACAGGGCCTGTTGCCAGCCTTCCCCTTTGCCTTATCTCAAAGAACACCTATTTTTTCAGCTGAGCAGTTTTCACTCCCCAATAGCTATTTTCCTCCTTACACTCCACAGTCAACTCAAGTCATACTGCTTTCCCCTTTCATTTGCTGGGTCCATTTCTCACACCTATAATCCTGGTTACTACTCTGCAAGCAGAGATTAGGACCACTGTGGTATGAAGGCAGTCTGAGAAAACGGTGAGGGAGACTTTAATCTCAACAAGTAAGCTTGGCTTGATGTATCTTCCTAGTCATCCAAATGATGTGAGAGGGATGCATGGGAGAACTGAGGTCTGCGTTGGCCTCAGGCAAAACCCATAAAAATCCTACTCAAAATCTTAACAAAAACTGGGGACATATGATTCAAGTGGTAGAGCCACTGCTTGGTAAGTGGGTGGCCCTAGATTCAAACCTCACAACCAGCGAAAGAGTAAAGACAATCTACATTTAGCAAGAAGGTCTACTAATGCTAATATTGCAATATCTAAAATCATTCTCATCACTTACCTCTAATCATTTACCTAGGGACTCATTTAATCCTGGAAGTAAAACCAGGAGATTTCCAGGAAAGGACACTTGGTCCCTTCTCTCTCTATTTGTTGTGGGGGATATAGAAATCAAGTTCAATGGTGATTTGGGGGAGATGATGAGCAACAGACAAGTGGATCACAATATGCTTGTTTGAGAAAGTTACTAGTCTTCTTTGGGGCTGGACGTTGCTTCTTTTGCTTTCTTCATAAATTTCCTCTCATTTGCAAATTTTTACATAATCCTCACAGCATTTTATAAAATATACAGCCCTGTAGGTTTCTTTGGGGGGATAAAAATCTCATAATACTCTCACATTTGACCGGAGGGCTTTCATTCCAACTTCAAATAGATTAGCTCATTTAAAATTCTCAACAACTGCTTAAAATCATCAGCAGAACACATAGATAAAACTGTTTCACCATAAGGGAAAACTGACCCCCGGACAGGATATTGATTTGCTAAGGGCTGTATGTATATAGCTGATAATGGGCAGAGTGAAACCGACAGTGCAGATTATAGAATGAAAGTGACTACATGATTTTCCTAGTTGCTTTTTTTTCTTTAATACATTGGTCTATGCAGTCTTTCCTTGGTTTACATGGGGGAGGAGTTGGTTGGTTTTAAGACCTCCTTTGGATATCAGAATATGAGTATGTTTACATCTCTCATATAAGATGGCTTAGTATTTGTGTGTAATTTAAATAATTCGATCATTCACGGTAACTCATCTCTGGATTACCTAATATCTAATACAACATAAATGAAGTGTAAAGTGTTGACATGCTATATTGTTTATCAGGAAAGAGCACAAGAAAAAAAAGTCAATACATGTTTACTATAGGTGCATTTTTTTCTGCAGTATTTTGACTGAATCTGTAGAAGCAGAGCCCTGAGGATACAGAACAGTAACTTTATCCATTCACTGAATGATTGGTTTGGTACAGAAATGTAAAGAGTGAGATTCCAAGGATCTCTAGAAATGTCTGGAAACTTAGTGAAGAAATGAACTTGACTTTCTCAAGGCTGCTTTCATGCTGGTATGAGCAATAAAATGATTCAAAATTGTACATGTGATCAGAGCTTTACAAATCCACGGAAGTAAACCAGTTCTTCTAAAAGTATAAAACTTCTTGACAGAAGATGTTCTGTTAGATGGGCAGATGCTCATTCTAACTATTTTATAGTGCTAATAAACAGCCAGTGCATTTCCTCCTCCTTTCAGTGTTGCGCTGGAGGGCTGCATACTGAATAGGAACTTTCCAGTCATCTTTGGTAATATGTAATGTAATAGAAATTGGCCTAGGTTTCAAATATTCTTCCAAATGTGTTTTGGTTCACATTTTATACATATTGAAAGCTGGATGAAATCTCACTGCTCAGTGCCCTTAAGAAAAACAATCATGAAATGATCATACAGAAAGCTAGCTGGCTTCCTTATCCCCCACACCAGTACATATTGTTTTGGTTATCATAACAATTTTAATTAGAAGTTCAACTCAGGAAATATAAGTGCTTAACTCCCACACATTCCAAAGGAAGAACTGGCCCTTAGCTGGCTTCTGGGAGAAATCATTTAAGCCCTTGGAACTCCTACATGTGTCTTTGTAAACCTGGGGTCTTCAGTCAGGCCATAGAATTTATTCCAGTTAACAGTGTGACTATGGTGAATGTCTATTTTTATTGGCCTGAGACTCTGGCCTCAGCATGCGGAATCAGTTTTGCTTCTAGACGGGCTGGAGACTAGGGGAAATCATGTGACTGCTCTATCATTGCTAGTCAACATATTCCCCTATTAAAATCTCAACTGTAGTAGTGAACTAACAGGAATTCCACCCTCACTACCAATTGGCTAGTTTTATTCTCTGTTGAGACCTGGCACAGCAGGAGCAAGGTGGTAAAGGTAAGAGGACTGGTATTTTGTCTTCAGGGGCCCCACCTGAAGATCACAAGTCTGTGGAGTGGATATTACCAAGGAACCTAAAAGTGGTGATGGTGGCATTACGCATCCTGAGCACCTCAGCACCCAGGAGACAGGAAGAGGCACCCACAGTGAGTGGAATTAGTAACTAGGTTGGGGAAGGTGGTGCGGAGAAGGTAGTACTTAGAATCTAGAAATTCAGTAATTAGGGCAGCAATCCCAGTAGGCCCACTGGGGCTTGGCTGAGAGGTAAACATAATTTGAGTGTCAATAAATATTTATCAGCCTTCAAAAAGGAGAATGGAAAACCAGCAAAGAAGATTGTACAAAACACACCTCGATGAATCCATCGTCGTACAAGCTACACAAGTGGCCAGCTAAGAAGCCACTGAGACAATACAAAAATGTGCCCTTTGTAACTAAATAATGATGTAAATGAATGAGAAAAGAAGGCAGAGTAAGGATTAATTTAGAATGATTTCTGTCCTTGTATTGGCAACATAGCTAGTACCAAGTACATGCTGCAGAAGCTTTTCACGTGTTATCTAATTTGGTCAGCAGAATGCCACTGTAAAATATTATTACACAGTTGCAGACCAACAAACAGGCTCTGAAAGGCATCACACAACTTACGTAAGTTGTTTAGTAAGATAGGATATATGGTCAGGTCTCAGAGCCAGGTTTCTACTACCTGAGACCTTCCCTTTTCTACTAGTCCAGGGCAGTGCAGGCTCAAGGTAGTCATCCTAAGATGTCTTCCCCCTGGACTATGATTATAGGAAATGGTTCATGTAGAAAAGAGGATAAAGCTGCAGACAGCTTCATACTGTGGATGTGTTTGAGCAACCAATGACAAATCAATGTTCTGCTGTCTCTTGGACTCCTGGGCAGTATTGAATCATACACAATTTTGGTCCACAATCAGAGGAGAATTCATCTGAGAGTGAGCCAGTCCATTACTGTTGTCTGTCCACAAAAGCCAAGAAATTGAATCAGCTCAAGTACTAAGAATAATTTTAACACAGTGAGAAGAAACCAAGTAGATTTCAAAAAGAAAAGAAAACCACTCGAAACATCTGACATGTTAATTAACATGCCAGATGATAAAATAATTTATTTTAAATCTAAAGATGTTTTTAACAGTAAATTTTACTGGTTTAGCAAACCATCATTATTCAGTAACAGTTTCTTCATTCAATTTAGCTCTATTTTTAAAGTCAATTCTTTTAACTAAATCTATCTTTCAGTCAAGATTGTTTTTGAACCTGGGCATGACTGACTTCTCTATTTTCAGATTTAGATATGTTTTGACATGTATAACCATAATCTTCAGGGAGTTATTAGTATATAAAGTTCTAAGAAAATTTTAATAGCTAAAATATTAAAACATAGAAAATAGATGAGTATGTGGGATGTCAAAACACATATTTTTTTCTAAAGCATTTTCTAATTCCTATATTGTATGTTTGTATCTCATGTCTATAAATCTATAAATGTATGTGGCACATGAATGAAATAACCATGAGGGTTCAGGGGTGCTCTCTTGGGAGATTATGCATACCATTGGGGTGAAGACAATTCTCTCCTTACAAGTTGGGCAGTGGTTAGCTTAGGACAAAAGTATTAAATAATTGTATTATTTTTAGAATCACTTCTATATTCATTAATCATGCATATTTCTTATTTACAGGGACTTTCATGAGAATATTTCAGGGCTACATGGATACTTTTCATCTAACAATTTGACTTTCAGTGGAAGCTAAACATATATTTATTTGATGCATTAATGTCTTTATCTATTGCCAGTCCTGGGGCTTAAACTTATAGTTTGAGCACGGTTCCTGAGCTGTTTATGTGCATGGTTAGTGCTCTACCACTTGAACTGTAGCTCCACTTCTTTTTTTTTTTCATGATCCTCACATCTTAGCCTCCCCAGTAGCTAGGATTACAGGCATGAGCCACTGGTACCCAGCTTAATGTCTTTATTAAAATATATATTTATTGAGGATCACTTATGTGCCAGCTTTTTTAGGCTGGGGATCGAGTAAAGAGAGATAACATATATATCTTCATGAAGCTTATAGTCTAGAACAGCAAATCAAAACAATTAATCAACTTATAAATGGAGAATAAAATGTCTGTGCAAAAAAAATAAAGCAGGTGGGAAGAGAGAAAATAACAGAGAGGAAGCTACCATAATGCATATCAGTTTGTAGAATGCTTTTCTAGTGAAGTAGCATTTGAGCATCGGATTATCATGGTGGGTTCTAGGCAGTTGTGGCAACAACTGCTTGATGTGCAGTGTCTACGAGACTGATGGAGTTTTTTATCCTTAGGGTAGAGAAGAAAGTGTTTGCTCTTAAATGTCTTAACATTGGATCTGGACTTGGGCTGTGTGATGAGCTCACTTAACTCTATGCTGGATTTATTGGACTTGTTTATTGTCAACCTCTGACCTCTCTCCATGATACAGGTTCCACCACTAAATTAGTCATATCCAGGTAAAACAGAAAAGATTGAAATGCATTGAAGAGTCTGGATAAAATAATACTGGTTGGAGAGCAGTTTTGAAGCTGCATATCTGCATGGCTTGGATCTGATTTTCAGTGAGTGCTATGCACTATTGCTTTCCCTTGTCTAATGTTGACCTGACCTGGCATAAATCATCCACTGCATTTACAGCACTGTGGTGAAGCACCTCTCCTGGTCTGTTAAATGCTTATTTATCCTTTCTTTTTTTTTTTTTTTTTGTCAGTCGTGGGGCTTGAACTTTGGGCTTGGGCGCTGTCCCTCAGCTCTTTAGCTCAAGGCGAGCACTCTACCACTTGAGCTACAGCACCACTTCCGGTTTTCTGGTGGTTTATTGGAGATAGGAGTCTCACGGTCTCTCCTGCCCGGGCTGGCTTTGAACCGCGATCCTCAGATCTCAGCCTTCTGAGTAGCTAGGATTACAGGCGTGAGCCACCAGCGCCCTGCTGCTTATTTATCCTTTCATAGTTCAGAGTCATTGTAACAGCAGCAAGAAGTCAGCCTGAAAACCTTCTCTTAGGCTGGCTGCCCCTGGACTGAACAGGGTGTCTTCTAGCTCTTGGGCTTCCCGAAGAGGATGCCATCGCTGAGACCATTGGCAACAGCGCCAGGGAGTGCAGAATTCCGATGACACAGAAGCAGGCTGAGCTGGTAGAGGTGCCCTGCCTCACTCTGTCTAAATCACATAGTTGTGTTACCTTGTTCTATTGTCTATGCGGACAAGCTATTCTATAAACTCAGTGTAATTGAACACAGACAGCTTTTTTTGTAAATTAAAATATACTGTGATATGGATTTCATGTTTGACATGACAACACAATCTCTGTGAAAGCAGCTTCAATCTGTGGCATGTCAAGTGCCAAGGCTGCTTGGGTAGAGGCTCATCCTGTGGTAGAAATCTTGACAGGCAGCAGAGATAATGTTTTTCTCATATGTGTGTATGTGTGTGTGTGAATATACATGCAATATGTATATATTGTATACAATAAGCATATCTCATTTAATATAAAAGTATAAAATATATACATTAAGGATATAGAAATACATATTATATTTAATATAATAAATATAATATCTCTATATAGGTGTATATGTATTATATATATATTTATAAATCTGGTATTTCCCAGGACATTCTCTACTTGCTTTTATTCAAAGCAACACTTTAAATCACTGCAAGGCTCATTTGTTCCAAAATGCTCCCCATCATGGTCTATCAGATCACTGTGTGTTGTCAAAGTTATTTCAGGTTTGCAAAAAAAACAAACCAGTCAGGGACTCTGAACATGGGACCATCCAGAACCACTTAACTCATTCATTTATTTCTCCTTTTCATTTGTTCATCACAGTGAAAAGGAAAAAAAAAACATGAAATCCCCAGTTCATTTCTCAGTGAGATGATATCCTTTCAGTTATCAGTAAATTGCATCTTAAAAGCAAGAGCGCGTCTCTGGATGATGGGACAGAGAATGAAATACTATGCCAATTTAAAATGCTATTACCTGCTCGCTTTCCCCAATCTTTCCCCTTAGGTACCACTGCTCCTCCATAGAAAGCATTTCTGTTATCATTTCCTGTTATTTTCTTCATCACCCAAGGAGCTTCATTAGAGAAATAAAGTGAGGGTGGATGCATTTGACAACTAGAGACAAACGATGCTAAGCGAGGAGCTCTCTGATGAGGCTGTTTGCATTTTTTTCCTGTTCAGAAGAGTATCTCTGCCTCGCAAGGAGACAGAGTTGGCATCTGCTTCCAGAGCAGCATATGGCTAGCGCTAAGCACTGTCAGTGTCTGCAGAGGGGAGTCTGTACGTCTTCAGGACAGGAAGAACATGAGCGCACAGTCTGTATGTAAATCTGGCATTTTTCCACATCTGCTTCCAATTGCTGAACTGCAGCAAGTGGGAAAGGCCATGTGGTTCTTCATAACGGTGCATAACATTCATGGGCAGATTGTTCCTCATCTTTCTGCCCCTCCCCAGGCCTCATTCCCACTGATAATCATTTCCCCTGCCTTGTCTTCATTTAACTGATGGTGAGTGGCTACTCTTGTTAACTTCTTCACTCGAGGCAAGGAGAGTTAGAAAGCTAAAAATGACAGCTTTTCCTCATAGCCAGGTATACCCTGTCAAAACCACCTGAAAAGCCTCCTCCCTTCCCCCTCTCCCAGTCATAGGTTAGCCCACCATTTCCTCCTGGTAAAGAAGCATGCAAGATCCTTAACATAGCCTGGAAAGGAATCCCCGCGCGTGACTTCAAATGACTACTCACTGTCATCATGCCATCCAGGAGCCCAGTCTCGGGTCTGGGTGGGGCCTGCAGCCTCTCCATGGACCACTTCTCAATGATGGAGGACACGTGAGGGTTGTCGATGTTAAGCAGCCGGAAGCCAGTCATGTTTACGCCACTGTACCTGTAGAGTTCCAGATCTAAAGCAAACAAGTCCTGTGCAGTATTAAAAATAACAAAAAGTAGAAACGAGTTAGCATTTTCAACGTTCCATTTGCAAACGAGAGCTAAATAAATTAAAACAAAAAATGAGAATGAAGTAGATGAAAATTTTCACATGGTGTCTATAAAAGAATAATTCACACTGATCTTTTTTATTCATAGGCTATCTGAGTCACTCTAAGGTGGTTTCATTTTTACTCTCTCTTTCTCTACTATTAAGGATTTGAACAAGCCAATTCCTCATTTTGAATAAGCCATCCTCCCAAGTAGCTAGCAGTATAGGTTTGAATAACTAAGTTGTTTTTTTTTTTAACAGATATATGTTTATGGGTAAAAATGATTAAAAACAACAACCCTGCAACTGTAGGGCTGATTTTAGATAGAACCAAAGGAAAATGCTTAAATAAGCACATTTAATTACTAAGATTAGAAAAGGTGATTTCTTTAGCACATTCAATAAGTAGAGGGAAAGTTGCTCAAGCTAAAGGGTATTTCCCAGAAACTTATAGCATGTAAACTGAATCTCATGAAATTAGTTTCTTCTACAATGGGAGATTCTGTGTAATGTAGAATGAGGAATGTTCCCGCGTTCATACATAGGGGATCCCTATATATGATTGGGATAAAAAAGCAAGAGAGGGAGGCGTGGATAAAAATAAGACATGTATAATGGATTCATCTCCAAGAGCCTCTGCTGAAGACCAGCTTTCCTGGGTTCTATTGTTCACTCTCAAATTGTCCCAAACCAAGCCTCCAGAGTATAAACATCTGTGACTGGTAGAAAGTTCCGAGACCAATGACCTTCTCACCTTGAGTAATGGCTAGACGTTCGTGGTGATGGGGAAGCGCTATACTGTATTTGCAAGCACAGCGTGATACTTAGCAGTCCCTGTGACCTCCCTTGAAGCAGTCCCTGTGACCTCCCTTGACTGTTAAGAAGGAATTGGAGGATAGCAGGCAGGTGGAAGTGCAAGGTCACAGAAACTTTCGTTTGGGGTTTCTACCATGTACCTCATTTCCCCACCCCCAGTTCAGTAGACAGCTACCCTCAAACTATCTCATGAGGTCCTTGTATTTCTCTCTGCTATTTGGGTACTTGAATCAGGAGTATCATTTGTTGCTGTTGTAGTATAAGTATAGCAACTTCTCTGCCCATGTTTCCAATTCTTTGATTTCCCCAACTTACAAGTTTAACTTATTGATTTTATTGATAAAACTGTGGGCTTCAACTCTGGGTAGATTTTGCTCACTAGATGGTAAGGATAGATTAGGATAGAAGGAGTAATTCTGTGTTTTCTTCTTACCTCAGCAAGTGGAGCATGTGGGATATCGACAAGGGGTGGAGGGAAGTGCATGAATGTGTGTGTGTGTGTGTGTGTGTGTGCGTGTGTGTGTGTGTGTGTTGTGATTTCTGAAGTTAGTTGAATGGAACGCTCACATCATTTTGGTGTATTAAATGCATCAAATCTTTCTCCTATGAACTCATCATCTTTTAGAATTTATGATGTCAGAATTGCTTTTGGATATGTGAAGCTTAATGCCATGATTTCCTTAGTGATTCAAAATGCAGAATGTGGAATGTATCTTAATACCTGTCGGTATCTAACACCTTTGACTTAACCTCAATGTCTTTGGGTACCAGCAAGACAGCCACATAACATCAAAGAATGTCAAGGTACACTTCAGTGTACATTCTAATGGATAGAGATATTGTACATAATGCTTCTTTTAGAATTGTTTGTCCTTTGATTGTTTCTATTTAATGGAATATTATCCTTTCTGGATAATGCACTGATGCTCACAAGTCAAAAAAAAAAAAAAAGAAAGAAAGAAACCTACTGTTCAGCATTATTACATGGACAAGTTTCTTAGGAAAGTAAAACAAATCTCCATGATAATATCCTGCCTTTGACATGGTGGGGTTGGGGACTAGCTTTGAAGTAAAATGTGGACATGGTTCCTATCATGTGGAATACATTTCTATCTGAGGTGCTTACCAAAGTTGTGAAAAAGTAGTGGTAGTATTCAGTCATCATACCCATGAACAAAATCTGCAAGAGAGAAATAAGGAGAGAAAATCAGAAACAGAGTTATAATAAGAGCTAGATCATTAGTACCGTGGCTGCAAAAACTCAAGAGCATAGAACTGGAGGGCTTTTATATACATAGTCACCAGCCCAGCAAATCAGAAATCTGAGGCCAATTAGAGGCTGCTGTGGAACAAGGGCACTGACCTCGATCCCATTTTATCACATCAGACTGTGTTTGACTTACATCAAAGGAATGGGTTTCCTGATCCAGCTTAAAAATACTTTATGTTCAACAAATCTTATCCTTGGAGTTGTCCATGATGACACCAGGTTTCGTCTCTCTCCTAAATTTCTGAATAATCCATCTCATGCTTAGACTATAACTTACTGTTTTTTTTCCCTAGCTTTGGCATTTGGCTTCTCTGGGAAGAACTCAGTAGATATTGAAATGTCGATGCTGGTATGAACGTTAGTGAAGGAGTGTATCTCAGAAAACCTTCTCCCCATCCCTTTGTAGTCTTGCCCAACAAAAATAGCTAGAATAGGGAGGATTAATTTATAGAGAGAAGGATGGGAATTCTCCGCATATCTATTTCATTCTGTGTGTGTGTTCTCTCTCCTTTCTCCTTCTCTCTCCAGCACTGAGCTTTGGTCTTAGTACTTCACACTTAATAGACAAATGCTCTACCACTTGTATCATGACCTCCTCCCTTTTTGTTTTTAATTTCATATAGTGTATTGTGCTTTTGCCTAGGCTAGTCTCAGACCAAAATTTTTTATCTACAGCTCTTGTGTTGCTGGGATTATAGATGCGAATCATCATACCCAGTTTGCTTGTTGCTATGGAGCCTTGCTGATGTTTTCTCCTGGTAGGTTTCCATCCATGAGCTTCCTATTTTGGACTCTCAAGTCATGAGATTATGGTTGTGAGCCACCATGCCTAACCCTTCATATTCTCCCTCTCCCTCTCCCTCTCCCTCTCTCTCTCTCTCTCTCTCTCTCTCTCTCTCTCTCTGCTTTTGGAGTCCTTTATTTTCTGTGATCTTATAGATTTTTTAAAAGAAAATTTAAAAATATATTTTATTGTAAAGATTCTGTACAGAGGGGTCACAGTTACATGAGCAAGGTACACACTGTCTCTTAATACTTATTCTCAGTTACCTATATGGCATCTTGATAGTTCCAAAAATTCTGTGTGTGTGTGTGTGTGTGTTCCTTTTTAAGTGAGAGAAGTGAAAGGAATTGGCTATAAAATAGGTTGAGAATATGTATATAATTTATTCACTTGTGGTCTAATTTTTGGAATACTAGAAATGGTATGACTACAGCAGAAAAAGTTACAAATAGTCTCTTGAATCTATGGTTTTACCTTTTGGGGGACATATTAAGTACAGAATTATGCTGATACTCTTTAAAAAAATCTTTGCATAGAAACAAAGACTCAGAAATTAAATTTTCACAGTGTTTTTCCTCTAACTTGGGTCAATTCTGGATATCCATGAGAAACCTCTTCTAGAAGTTCTTGAGTCAGTACTCCCTAGACCCCATAACTGCCCATCCTCAAATTGGAGTTTTGGAGTGGAGAATGTAAAATGGTGGTGTTACTGCTTATGTAAAACATAGATGTTGCCATGTTTTTAGGGCCTCAATTAAAGTGTTGAAAAGGTCTAGGGAATGGTATCACAGCTTGTCAGGGATCCTTAAAAGTACTTAAAATTTCACAACCTAGAAGGATTTTTATATGAAAGGGAAGTGAGGATTCAAGAGGGAATTCACAACAGTGCATAACAAAGCATCAAGACTAATCAGACCCCGTGTTGCCTCTGCCACTGTGGAATCCGTGAAATTGTAATGCCATGAAGATAAGACAAATGGTGGCAAGTGCTCACGATGAATCATGAGCCAATGGCACCAAAGTCACTATGGTACTAACAAGACAGGGCAGGGCATACAAAGAGATTTGAAAAGGCAGACTTGCTTTAGGGCCATCAATAACCTTTAGAGCCATGCATGGTGAGGTCTTGTTACTGGACTCTTCTATCATTTGAGCTTAAAGAGCTGGCCTGCCAGGCTCAGTCAGGCATCCAATATTTCACTGTATTCACTGGATAGTGTAATTGTGACTAAGACTACCCCTTGAAAGGGACCTGAGTACATTTCTGGTTATAGAGCTGGACACTGATGTTTAAAATACATTTCTGGAATACAAAGGCACCTGAGTTCATAGTTTTCATTTGAGCAAAATCTTCTTCAATTTTATTATGAAAGCTTTCGATCCCCCATGAGGAGCATTAACACCTACTTAAAAAAGAAACAGTCACTTCATTCATTATTTTTATTATTGTTTTACTAATTCCTGGAGGCAAATATCCATTTGATTTGCTTGGTATTCCATGTTAGAAATGAACTGTGAAAAGTCAGTCTGTAGGTAGCCAGCAGGTATGCTGCTTTTATTGCAAAAAGAGCCTGTGGGTACTTCAGGTGTGCTTCTGACATGAAGAACGTTCAATTTTTTACCGTCTCCTTCCTAGATTGGTTCAGTGCATCGTGGTTCTTACCCTAAACTTCCTAAAAATAAAATTTACAAACAAGGGTAGAGTCATTGATCATCGGCCTGCCAACTTGGGGAACACTTTAGAAAATTGAAAATCTTCTAGATAAGAACGAGAAAGCTAGTAGCCCCAAAGGTGGGACTGCTATTTTATTTTAGATTTCATTAGCATTTGAAACTTTAATGCTTCAAGTACCACTATGAAAAAAAAACAAATTGTTTAAATAGAGATACAGTGGACCCATCGCAACAATGAGATGTATAAGACATTATGTAGAAAAACGAACTTTACTACTTTGGCACCGGGGGGGGGGGAGGAGGAGATGGGAGGAGGAGATGGGAAAGGCTGGGAAGGGGAAACAAAGGAGGAGGCAACAATGCTTGATAAGAAGTGTACTCATTACCTTGTCCATGTAATTGTAACCCCTCTGTATGGTATTTTCACAATTAAAAAAAGAAACTAAAAATAACACACCCATAGCTTAGGAAAAGTATTTGCAAATCTTATCTCTTTCATAAAGGGCTTGTATTTAAACATACAGTACTCCTAGAACTGAAAAAAGGAAAAGACAATAAAAGCCAAGTGAAAGGTGAAAATTCTTCGCCACAGAAGAAACACAAATGACCAATAAGAATGGGGAAAACATCCTCCTTCATTAGTTATCAGAAAAACGCAAACAAAAGTCATAGTACCATACTGTGTTATCCTCAGAAAGAGCTCTGAACTACAACTATATAGTTAGTTTAGGCTAGTATAACAAAAATGACTAATTCCAACCAAACAGTGCCCTTCCCATTTCCAGGATATACCACCATAGTACATCATACCCTATGTTATTTCAGAATTAATTATAAGAGCCCCAAAGAGGACCAACACAAAAAACAAAGTTCTATGTGCTTGTCACAGTCTATTCTGTTTGTGGAACTGTTTTAAATTGAACAAACAGAAGATATGATGTATCTATATTAAGAATTTGTTTTCTATATCATGTTATTAAGTTGGGGATGCTATGAGATTCTTCCTTTGTTTCAATGACTGGAATTACTGCCTTCTTTTAGTCATAGTTGTAATGGTCATACAGGTAGCAGAATTAAAACTCCATGCCACATAGCCCTTGAATGGAAAAATCTAATGGTCTGATGTCTACTACTATAATATTTGGGGACACAGTTATTGATTATTAGCAATGGGCCACGAACAATTGTTCCAGATGCCATCTGACATTTTTTGCAAACCTCATGGATCTTGTTCGTGATAGCATTGACCTATCTTGGTGTAGATATGTCATTCTTAATAGAAATAATATTTTGGAATTTGATGAGTAGTTAGCAGATACAGCACTGCCCAAATCATGGTTTAGGTTGTCCTCAAAGTTCGCATTGAAGTCTAGTTGTAGATGACCAAAAACTAGTTCTGGGGTCTGATACCTATGGTATCCTCAGAGTCTGCCTATGAGATGCTTGGAAAGTCTGAATAAGAAATGAACATATCTGAGTCTCTGAAGAAGTCTGTATCATTTCTCAGAAAGCAAAGCAATGCTACGAAGACAGCTGTAAAAATTATTATCTGCAAGTTCTTGGTATCCATCATTAAGGTTTCACTACATGTCACAAATAATTGGCATTATGCTGCTGTTGTAGAAGCAAATGCTTAAAATAGAGCCTGGAGTTCTCGCAGGCAATTGTGAAGTGCTCTTGTAATATTTATATCGGTTTTTATTACTGCTTCTCTCCATTGAAAAATAGGTGTCTCCGAAGTTTATATTGACTCACCTGAAGTATAGTGCTTCTTTTATAGCCTTCTCAATACCAGGATGAATTCCCAGCCATCAGACATGGTTTCTAGTCAATAATTTCAAATGAATAACTTCCAAATGTGTAACATGCAATGTGACTAAAATAATAGTTTCACCTCAAGATAGAAATAAGTTCTTCCAGCGTAAGCATCTTCAAGGAAACTAGTTGAATGATCTGAAGTCTCAGAGCAGCAATATAAGATGAAATTGTGAGCTGCAGGGTGTACTTTTTTCTGTGGCAGCTGTGATACTTTCAGCCATGTTCTCTTTCTCTTCTGAGCAGGATGCTACTTGGGCCACACAATTTTTAAATATTGGTTTCCAGCAGAACTAGCTGCGTGTATGTAGACTTTTCAATAAATCTCTGTTGTAAGAAATTATGCCACCATGAATGAACTTCTTGTATTTCCAAAGGAAGAGTAAATTGTATAGAAAATGGTAGTGGATCCCAGGAAAAGGTTGAGCATGCCAAAGTTCCCATTTCTTCTGAAGTAAATGGAATACTGATTTTCTGAAGATGTTCATGTTTGATTTCCAGAAAGTATTAATATGTTACTTTGCATGGCAAATGGTACTTTTCAGGGTTGACTACCTGGAGGATTTGGGGATAGGGCCATTTCCCAGTAGGATCTGAGAAGTCATATGGGAACCAGACCGGTCTCCTAAGATGGGAG